CGATCGCTGATTGTCGACGTTGACTAGTCAACGTCCGCTCGAGCTGAGCTTAGATCCTGGGTCCGCCACTGGATCCAAGCATATCAGGTTCATACCTTTCGAACTTTAAAAACGTTAAATGTATGTAGTTTAAACCAAAGTATAACGATATATTTATTTCAATTGAACAATGCAACTAAGAAAAAATTAATTGGTATATGACCAAAAGTATTTATGAAAGTGTTTTTCATTGCGACACATACTTGAGATAACAGAAAATGTTCATCCGTGCACTTGTTAGAAGACTGAAGAAATATTTGACATTGAGGATATAAGAAAATTTAAATTAGTGAAATGAGATTTACATTGTATAGAAGACGAAAATATATTTACCAAATTATAAATCTAAGTATATATATTCTACTCATCATTAGTCAAAAACAGCTTCATTTCAAAATCGATGATAAAAAATTGTTATCTCATTTCTATAACAAATCAAAGTTCCTAGACTATTGTAATTCCATTAAAAAAATTTTGTGAAAAATATTATATTGAATTCTATTAATCCTGTTTTGCGGAATAAGACTGTGAAAGTAGTGTTTACACCTCCATATTTTCGATCTTTTACTGCAAAATTTACCTAAAGTACATACCTTTCGATATAAGAGCATTAGATTGTATCATTAGGGTAAACACTTAACACAACAATTATATTTAAACACCCTACAAGAGTGAAAAGGAAAAAAATATATATCGTAAAATAATATTGCTAACCATGCATATTGTACAAGATACAACAAAAACTTCATTAGTCAAATTAAAATTTTGTAAAGAAGATGCAATGTGATAAGTAAGTTCATATGATGCAATATGTAAAACATCAAATAATTTCTTCACAAAAGTGAAATTATGAACGTCAAGATATAATACTACCAAATATATGTATCAATTACGGTTAACATAATATATAGCATCAAAAGTTAAAAAAACACTAACTTGTAGTTTAAGAAGAATAACTTTAATTATTTTTTTCATCGTATCAAAGGTCATCTTAACAGACATTTTGTCAGATCTTGGGAAATTTGGAAAGAAATTGAAAAAATCATTTTCGTTCTAAGAAGATGATGATAAGCTAGCCATTACGTATAATATTATGAGAAGAAAAATAGAAGAATAAATTACAGAGTGAAAGCTCCTTATTATAATACTAACTCCAAACAAATTATGAAAAAAAAAAAATTCAATCAAATAATTAGGAGAGTTATACTATAAAGAGGTGAAAATGGTATTAGAGAGAAATCTGAAAAAAATTGTTTACATACAGCTCCCTAATTATATACTCGAAATTGGAAAAAAAAATGAAATTTGAATTTTTAATTCAAATTTTAAATTTTATGGAATTCTCCATGATGTAGGGTGCCATCAACGCAGTTTGCATGGTTGCAAAAGCAATGCAGACCGCTTAGCTAGGCTACTGGTTCGCAAGCCAAGCATGAGCCGAAGAGATCGTGTGAGAGCCAACTTGTGTGAGTAGACGCAAAAATGTTGCTCTGCTTGCGCCCATTGCTTGTCTCAGGCATGAGTCGAGTTGACAAGCGCCGACTCATCCCACTTAAAGCTTCTAGGGAATGGTGGTGGTAGGAGTTTGTACACTCAATCAAAGACATATTCATCATCAACTCTAAATAAAAAAGAAATGACACAAAATGTC